TCTCTCTCTCTCTCTCTCTCTCTCTCTCTGGGCAGGTGGTGGATGCTCTGATGTGGTTTGCTTCTTCTTTCCTGTTGGTTATGCAGTGACGTCCAAAAGAAACGTAAAGATACGTAAACTTATTATCTTGTTAGAACCTTACATTCATGTAGTATATCAATTTGAAGCTAAATAAATCCTTCATCATCTTGTATATGTGAAGCAGCGTGGTGGAATCAGGCTCTTGTCAAAATAATCTATGTGAAGAAACTTGCATTTTTCCGCAGGTTTGTGAATTTTTATCAAATTTTGGTTTGTTGGCTCAACACCTTTCATGCCCATTGAAGAACGCATTTCTGTGTGGATTTTTCAGAAAAACGTTGAATAAAGGCATCAAAATTGTCAATTTTCAGTTACCACGTACTCTTAAGCTAAGGAAATAACTAATCTGTGGCGGGCATTTTCTCACTAATTTTACCTCTGAAAACAGGTGACCCCCACCACCTGCTTTCGTAAATATCTCGACTTGTATTCAAGATAAATGGATTTTTTTTCCATCCAAATAAAGACAAGTGAACAAGCTTTAACATGGTACCAATAACTCTATAAGCCCAAAAATTGACGAGAGCCTGATTCCACCACGCTGCCTCACATATATTGATTTTTCACCCATGTCAAAAGTCGCTCCCATTGTGGTGATTAAAAACTAATCTTTAAAAATAAGACAAGACTTGGAAAAATTGCGTGCGATCAAAGAAACGTAAAAATGTGTTTGCGCGTGTTTTGGGGTACATCAGCATTGGTGGAATACATCGCATATTAAATTAATGGAAAATTTTATCTCTACAATAAACAGTACAATGTACTATTTTATTACGATAGTTTCAATCATCGCAAAACAGAGCAGCCACAAATACCGTTCATGTAAAACTTGGACTTCACATTAAATGTGCTCATTATTATTTTCTTTAAGAGCTATTGGGTTCGTGTAAAGCACTTTTTCATCTTGGACTTTGTTAGATTTTCGACGTAATCTTCTGTCAGTGAAGAAGCGGCGACGAAATGGCCATGTTTTGGGATTGTCAGGCTGGAATTAACAAAACCTCACTCGTGAGAATCAGCGGATGGCTTCAATTAGTGGACCTCATCGCTCATGTGCTGGGGTGTCTTTCAAATAGGTATCTTCATGCTTGACAAAGCATCACCTCACAGGGTCAACACCATTAGACAATTCTTGGAAAACCAAATCATACCAATGATGAAGTTTCAGTATAAATATCCCCAATATTAATCTTATGTGGAGTCCCATGCCATGAAACAGCAGCTAAAGAAATGCGACTTTACTCCGTATTCAGACGCTTTATTTGCAACTCTCTGTGACATTTGGGATGAAAATGACAGATTTATGTCCAAAATTAGCACAGTCCATGCCCTTAAATTCGTGCGGAACACAAAAGCTGTGGCTCCTAAACAAAATAATAATGAGCCCATGATTTAATGTTAAGTCTACGTTTTGCATGGTATTTGTGACTGTTCTGTTTTCTGATCTGTTTGGAACGATTGGAATCAAATAATGCTGTTTATTGTAGAGACAAAATACTCCATTCGTTTGATAGGTTAATAATGTCCATTCCAGCAATGCCGATGCACCTTGAAACACGCGCGAACACACTTTTACATTTCTTTGATTTCACACAATTTGGCCAATTTTTATTTATTTATTTATTTATTTATTTATTATTTATTTATTTATTTATTTTTTTTTTTTTTTAATTAATTTTTTTTTTTTTTTTTTTTTTTTTGGGGGGGGGGGGGGGGTCAGTTTTGAGTGACCGTATCTCGGACGACTTTTAACATAGATGAAATATTCGTGATACAGAATTAATTTAGCTATTGGTATGCTACATGAGTGGGTAGTGCAAGAATTTAACACCACAATTGGGTGACGGGTGATTGCCTTTTCAAGCGTCTTTTGGACGCTACTGTGTATTCCTTTTTATCTGTCCTTCTTTTCTCTGCATGTTACCTCTAATCGCCAGCACTTATATGACTAATACTAAAAACTAAAAATGCTTTATCTACACAAACCCACGCACACACATTCACTCACACACACACTCACATACACACAAAAAAACCACATTCGCGCACACACTCTCTCGCACGCGCGCCCACACACACACACACACACACACACACACACACACACACACACACACACACTCACACACACACTCGCGCGCGCGCGCACACACACATCTCTACTCTATATCATTTCTGTTCCCTCTACCACCGAACCTGACTTTTTGAACTCCGATTCTTCCTCACCTTTTACTGGCTCCTACACATAACTGGGATGGCCTAAGCTATCATCACACTCCTCTCAAAAGGTGCACAGTTATCCTTTACATTATTATATTTGTAGTATCACAACTATGAAAACGAAAACATCTTGTGACATCTTTTTCATAGTCGGGTGCTCTGGTGTCGTTTGCTCCTTCTTTCCTATAAAACATCTATCGTCACTATCTCCCCTTCTTCTTTTTTTATGCTTGTTACTCTGTTGTAACACCTCTAGTCTTCTGGCGCTCATATGACCTCATCATGAAGTTGCAAGCACCGTAAAACCTCTACTAAAACTTAAACTTTTTAAAATAATTTCTTTATGATCCCCACCATTTTTGGAGGGTTACCACCAAACTGGTCAAATTGTTCGTTCTGTAGA